TGAACTACATATAAAATAAAGTAACAAACTGCAATTTGGTTAAAATTTAACTTTTTCCCACACTCACCTTAAACTTATCATGCAAGGACGAATTTAACTTTCCGAATTATGAAAAACACTTTTTAAAACTTTCAGGTTCTTCTTGAAATTCTTTCTCAAATGTAATCAGAATTGTTTAAAGAATGCTGGCAATCCTCGCGACATGAGAAGGTTCCAGGTATGTGCTAAGTTCAGTTAAGATACAGAGCAATGGGAAACGTTACGGTCTTAATGAATTTCAAATCAGCTTATACTTAATTAATTTGAAAAAGCTAGGTTAAATTGAACCACTAGAAAAGCTATGCAAGTTTCAGTGGCACGCATGAAAATATTGAGAAAATGTGTATTATTTTGAAAAATCTTCAACTTATTAAGCATGCGATAGAAAGTAAGATTAATGTAGTGCTAATGAAACATATGAAACATGGAATGGAGTAAGTTAATAAAACAGGTGGTTTATTAGCGATAATTTGCATAAAGATGGAACGGTCAGTTTGTTTCGTGGTGCATTGAATTAGGATAAGCGGCATGTGCTTGCGCATTGTCACATTAAAACGACACAATCAATCAAATTTCTTCGCAGATGACCTCTCACCTCTTCCAGTCGTGCATATCATCATTTCTTCACTTTCTGCATCTGTCAGTGTTATTCGCAATTTTGTTTAAAAATTTGAAAATTCCATTCTGATATTCATCCGAGAATTAAAATTCGTAACAATCATTTCTTAACTTTAGGAATAGATTAGGGTGTAGGATTTCGTTTCCATTATGATAGACAAATTTTTAATTGGAAAAATACTTTGCAAATTCACTATCAATAAAAGACTCGAAAGAACTTCCAGCAACGATTTAAATGAGCCTCCTCATTTTCTAGGTGGTATTGGGCACAACAGCACGCGTAGATGGTCCTTTATTAGCCATATCAGATAATATGTTCGTTCACAATAATTCGAAACATGGAAGGAGAGCAAAACGTGTCGATCCATCTGAAGGTTAGGCCAATTTTATGATTAGATATTGACAAGAATGTTAATTATCTTCAATGTTACTTCAAGGCTTATTGCAAAATTTAATGAATTTTAAATCCTGCTTCACTCGTTCCTGTGAGGATTTTATAAAATTTAACTTTTACTTGAAAATGAAGTGTTGTTGGATATTTGACATGTTTAGTCGCAAGCAACGGTAAAATGGTAAAGCAATTAGAAGAGGACAGTTAAGGATGGATTGGGAGGAATAAAGGATATGAAGTGTGCTCATCATTGACAGGCTTGTGTAACTCACTGCGATACACTAGAATACCAAATTTAATTAGTGGTCGGAAGCACATAATTATGCTATTGAGATCTGCTGTTCCTTGGATGATGACTCTGAGGTATTTACCTCTTTCGGATTAACAGTAGTCTGGAAAGACTACATAATAGTATCCTTTTTCTTAAGTGTATTATTGAATTTAATTGCAAATATTTGATTGGAAAAGGGGATCACAATAAAGATTTGGATTTGTTATCATTAATTTATTGTTGGAAGTAGAGAGATGGGAATTTCCACTCATTTTGTTAATTTTTTATTGCAGTTTCCTTTTTCAATTCATCAAATTTCATCAGTTGCAAAATCTTGTAAAGTAACATCCAAACATGAAAAGTGTTTTAGCGACTTGATGTTTGTCAAAATGTTAAATATGAGCCATGCAAATGAGGGAGTCATTAATATTGTTATAATGATAGGTCTCACTTTTTTGAATGCTTTTCATTGGGGCCACAGCTGTTGTCATTTCTTCATTTATCCTATTATGACTTTCAATTCAATTTACCATCCCAAGTACCATCCATGTTTAGCTTAATTCGCATGCGGAAATTGATGAATTGGTGGGTGAGGATCGTAGTTGAAAGGGATCGTCAGAACATGTAAACTTAGCAAAGTAAGCCTCGAAACATGCCGCCAATGATAAAAAACATTTGATCGACTAAAAGCTAACTTTCTTGTCCGTTTATTGATAGCCTTTAAATGCGATGTTTTTATGAATCAGAACGGAACTTGAAGTCGATATTCCTCGGCAGTTAAAAATTACAGGCCGGAAAAGTCATCCATTGATTTCCTTAGAAAAAAAAATTCCTGAAAATATGCGACCAAAATTATTACTCTAGTTATATATATATATATATATATTCATTTATATATCAAGGAAACTGGTTGAACAATTCAATCATCCAAGCTGGGCCATTTGAAATATGCAAATGAGAAGAGAATAGTTAAAGAAAGTGAAGGATGATCCATATCTGCAGTTCTATCCGATATTACCCTGTTACCAAAAATGTGACGACCATGAAATGTTATGTTATATTTGTATATGGTTATGGATGGGAGGATATATGGATGTTAGATTGATTGTCAGACCTCATTTAGACATGGCTTCACCCATAAAATGGTGCATAAAATTTCGCAGCCAGGGTAACTTTATCTAAGTCGAAAATCTTCATCGATATGTTTCCTTCCGCACTGACAGCGAGCACTGTGAAGTGAATTATGCTTATGCAAATAAAGCATTTCCATTCAAAATACTTTTTTAAATCGAATCTCATTTTATCAATACTCACTTCGACAGCTCACCTGTCTGTTGGCTTTCAGTTGTTTTTATCAGTGAGTTGCTTGAGCAAAAAAAAAAAAAAAAAAAATGGATAAATGTCTAAGGACTACTATGACAGTTTGTAATTGAACAGCATGTATTTTCTTGGTAATTCTTGAAGTTGTCAGTAAAGCTATGCTGGAAAAAGCTATCAGTTGGGCAGCTCTTCCTATCGATTTCCTTTCCGTTACACGCATGAAAGTCTGCTACCGTAATCGTTGTCAGCTTTCAATTTGTTATCGCCTTAACGAACCTCCATATGGATTGCCATCATCTTTAGTACTGAAAATTAAGTGTTCTAAGGGCTATTACCGCTCATTTTCAAATCTTACAACTGTTTGTCATAGTGATGCTGTTGAGATTTCCTGTAACAACATAAATACTTTAAATAAAATCCCAAGTTTTCGTAAATTGAAAATCAGGCATTTACTTTACGTATCAATTTATATGCTATTGGAATAGTTGATCTTTACAACAGGTAAGTTTCCAAAATATTGTGAAATTTTTGGGAAATTAATTTCTCCAGCTTTACCACAACTAAGGAGCATCAATGCAACAATTACATTCCAGATATATCGGACTCCTCAGATGTCGCGGTAACGTCGAATCCAGTAATTAAAGCAATATGTCCCAGTGAAGGTTGGACGCAAGGTGGTACATCAATTATTATCATTGGTGAAAACTTCTTCGAGGGTCTGCAGGTTGCATTTGGACCCACTACTGTTTGGAGCGATGTTCGTGAATCTCCTTTTACCTGAATTTTAAATGAATTAACAAATAATGCTTGCAAAAATATGCATTACTTGCCATTTCTTACATTCATGCCATTCTTCTTCGAAGTAATAAACAGTCAACTGAACTGAATTTGATCCCTTCGTTTCATTTTGAAATAGAAATTCAAATAGAAATTTTGTATTTCCTATTATCGTCTATTCTTTGTACTTCAAAATCTCATCTAGCTATTTTAGCAGTCTTCTTTGTGTTTGGCAGTTTTTTTTTTCCATTTCGGAATGATCTCTTCCATTAACGATAACTATAATAACTAGCTACATGATGACCCAGTCAGAATATGTATATGTTCCAACTTAATATGTTTCAACTAGCAACTTAAAATTTATTATTTTCCGAAGATTTTGAATTTGCAAAAGTCGCAGGAACCGATGAACAACTGTTTTTTTTTCAAATATAAGGCTGGAAAAAGGTTTCTTTATTAATGGAGGATTATTTACTTACTTTTGCTTTTAACATACAACAATTTCTTACAGTCTGTGCAAATTATAACACCACATGCGATGCGTGTGACAACACCGCCCCGTCATATGCCTGGTGTTGTTGAAGTGACATTAACTTACAAATCAAAGCAACTTAATCAAGGGAATCCTGGAAGATTTGTATATATCTGTAAGTTTATTCTTTTTTTTTCAACATTAAACTTGAAATCAAAACAGTTGATGGAAAGGTTGTAAGAAAAAAAGCTCTTTCAACCTTTTTCATCCTATATAATATATTTTATAGATATAATTAAATTATTTGATTAAGATACAAACAAAAACATTAATACAGGCGAAATTTTTTAGCACTTTCGGAGCCGAGCATAGACTTCGGTTTTCAAAGACTACAAAAATTGCTGCCAAAATATCCAGGTGATCCAGAAAGGTTACCCAAAGAGCTAATATTAAAAAGAGCTGCGGAATTAGCAGAAGCACTTTATAATAGGTAATACATTTATTTTTCTTAAGCCGATTGATTTTCATTCGTTACCAATTTGAGTCCCAATTTATCTGTCAAAAATAAATATTTGATAAATTTTAGTCAGCAATTTACTTTGCCACCACCACGAACACCCGTTGATCCATTATCTCATTATGCCTCCGCATATACCGCTCAATTTGATACTAACAACGGCAAGTTTTTAAATATCTAACAAATTTCATGCAATGATTAGGATGACATGAGGTTTGTTGTACACATTTATCTTTTCCAAAAGGAAGAAATGAAATTCTGATTGTCAACAGAAATTACCACGTACAGAATTTTGATCGGAGAGAAACTTATGAAATTTTAACGAAAGAGGGGAACCAAAATTAGGTTAGAACCAAAATAGAACCAAAATGTGGAACACAACTCGGTCTCGTAACCTTAGCTATTGGATCAGGAAGTTTTCATCTCCCTGTTCTTTCTGCTATCACTGCTTACTTTGTTGTATCTATCAAATAAATGAAAGGAATGTTTTGTTCAGTGGAACATCTTTGAATAAATCCATAATAAGACTCTATCATTCGACCCACGGAGCGAAGTTATTAGTAGAGGAGACAATGACATTGAAGTATGACACATTTAGCAATGTTTGTGTTCTAAGTTCATGGGATTATATGTATAACTTGAATTACGTAATTTCATGGAAATTCATGTTCAAATTGCAGTAATTGAATTTCCTGTGAAGTCATCACTTAGATCAGAATTACTGAATCATCAGTAAGCTTCTGGAATTCTGTTTTCAGGAATAATCCAGACTTTCCAAAGTATTATCCCTCTTTGTTGTTTTCGGCAAAAACTAATTCATTGTAAAAATTTCTGAAGTTTGTCAAAATGATGAGCTATTTGTAATGCTTGCAGATTATACGCGATCTCATAACTTATCACCACGGGCACTGTCAAGCTACAGCGGTAGTGCAGTACCTCATTCCTTATCTTCAGCAGTGTATCAGGGAACTTATTCCGCATCTGTTAGTGCTTCACCAGCTGCACAGTTTCTCAATGCTCCATCTAGTGAGGCTTTTTAATTATTGAATTATTTTACGCCAATAACAAGTTAAATAAAATGAACATATCTCCACAAATACTGCTTTATCCATTCTTTTGATAAATGCTGTCACCAGTCACTGAGTTTACAACAAAATATAATAATCTTTTTTTTTTCAATAACAGTCTGTTGATAGCAGAAAAATGAGTTTTCTAAATTTTTAGTCGAGTGAAATATTATCATAATTCGAATAAAGATATGAGGAACTGGAGCAATGTGTTTTATCATTTTTTTGAAATCAACATTATTTTGATAAGATTCCTTAATTTTGCCGTACTTTACAACTTTAGAAAATAAATGTTGCAGCTACTACTTGAAATAATTTTTCACTAAAATCCTTCACCAATAACTTTTTACTTTAATTGGAAATTGAAATTTGTAGGTTTTGCACCATTTGGAGCAGTAAACCCATTTGCAGCAGCATCATTTCAAACAACAGCACGACTAACTTGAATTGATTTAACCTGTGAAGTTAGTTATCTTGAATGAATTTTCACATCATAAACATATTTATTTTACATTAATCCATGTACTTATTATAATAAATAAGCACAGATTTGAATACTTTGAAAAAAAAAATATGTTTTCCTCCAATTTAGATAAATTTTTGTGGCAACTGTTCTTCATTTTAGATCCATCAAAGGTAAAATTTAAACAATCAGAAAAAAAAAATGTTAATATATATTAAATTCGATAAATTATTGACACTTAAAGCTAATTGTATTCCTGCACTTTATTGTTTTAAAAGATAAAAATAAGTTATTGGATTATGTGTTTCGAAAGTTTTTTGGAGTGTAGGATTACATGCATCAGCATTCTATATCGATTTACTAAACTAACTTCAGCTGGTAACAATATATGACAGAAGTAACACAAGAATTCTACGATACATGAAACTTGATGTATCTGAGCTTAACATATACTGAACATGCAACTGAAACAGTGGAACAAAACTGGATGTAGTAAAGAGTTGAAATTTATTGAAACAGGTCAGATTGATGGGATAAATTTGATTATGTCTATTCATTTCATTTCAACTCTAGCATTCTTCATGCTAGGTTCATACATCTTGACGTACACCTCTTCCATTAATTACACTCCTTCGGCTAACCTTTTCTCAGCTCACTGATGTACTATAATTATCACTAAATCATCGTTCATTGTTTATTTATATGATAACTTAAGGTCGATTCTAATTGTTATATGGATCAACCATGTCAAAACTTTGATCTTATCTAATATTTCCTGTCTCTTTTCATTTACGATGAACGATATCTGATTGAACAGTAGAATCTATGAAACTCACTGGATGTTGTCATTTCTTCGGTCAAATCTCTCTAGAAAGCAATGCAAAGGAAATCGATCATTTGTCCATTAATTTTGCTTAATCGAAGTAATGAAAGAAAATTTGGTTATTATACATTTTTCAAAGTCATGCATACGTGCGAATATTTGCGATGAATGATATTCTGATTGAGCAGTACCAAGCACTTTACTCTTTCCTACCTGAAAAGGAATGAAAATAATCAAGAACTATCCATTTACGACAAAGAATGCTAGCGTTAAAACGAAGGGAATAGGGTATAATCGAATTTATCGTGTCAATCTAAGCTGATCTAATAAATTTCAACTCTATTCAATCTTCACCTTTATTCTGCTATTTCGTTTGCATGTCCAGTATATTTTAAGTCCAAATATTTACGGTCTAGCTTCACGTGTCATAGTATTCCTGCATTGCTTCTGCCGTATGCCTTGTTACCAGCTGAAGATAGTTTGATAAGTTCGAAAAAAGAAGGTAATAAATTTAAAAATTTCTAATTTAGCTTAGGTCAATTGTCAAAATGTGGAATGATTCTTGAAAATAGTAATTTATTGCTTGCATGTGCAATATTATTGTGTCATGGATGAGAAATTCTGATCAATTTTTATGAATGTTACATTTTCCGCTTCATATTTTGAAACTTCTTCTAAAGACTTTTATATAAATTTCGCTTTTTCCAAAATTTCGTACTTTTTTTAGCACTATATGTGCATGCTATTTCCGTAACTTATTTGAAATTTTTCGATTTGAGGAAAAAGTTATTGAAGAGAGTTTATTATGTTCTAATACAAATTACGGAATGTATATTTTTGCTAATTAATTGAAGAGTACATCAGTGATATCTTATAAAAGTCTTATTTTGGTATTTGTATTTGCAAATCTCGGTTCCGCAACTGGTTGATTGTTCGTCTTTTCAGCAAAGCGGGTATTCAAAGATCTTTGCTTTTTGTGGTTTTTGTAGTTTAATGTGAATTTTTTTTTATCTGGTCAATATAACGCAAATTAAAAGTGAAGGTTCTCACTGAAAAATAACGTATATATTCTTTTTTTTTTTCTTTTTGTAAGTTCATCAGAGTGTTATTAGATGTCCTTGTTGTTATAGTGATTTATCTAAATTCTAAATTGTATTTTCTTGTATTATCAAATAAATCTTTCGTGAACAATAAACAATATCGTGACTAATAAGTTTGATTGCTTGAGTGTTTTTACTGCACGGAAAGGATTTGTGAATTCATTCAAAAAAATTCCGCAAATCAATAATTTGGATGATGACGATTATCGATCTAGGATATTGATTACTATCACAAATCACTGACCGTGTTATCCAGTAATATACCTGAAAATAGAATTGAGATGAGTGACTGAAACGAAACATATCAAGATTCCATTTCACTTTCTCTCTTGATCATCTTTTCTGGTATCAATGCAATTTAGAAAGTCATACTTTGAAATAAAACAATTTAACATTTACGAAGGCTTTTTGCAATATAAAATGGATGAAATGAAAGAGAGAGAGAAAAAAAAGTGTAGATGGTAATGATGAATGAATGTGCAAGCGGTAATGTAACAAATTTTGGTGACAGCCTTTTTCAATCTGTTCCGGCAACTCCTTCGTCAATCTGTCCCTTTCATCTTTCTTTCCTTGGGTGTCTTCGATGATTTGTGGTACTCATCAAATGTGCTTCAACTATTTGATCTGTTACTATGTTACTATCAGCGCTTAACGATAGATAAGTGCTGCCTCATTTGTATCCATAGCCCTCCTCTAGCATTATTTCGTCATTCAATTAAAATTTTAGTTTGTTTGTAAATTAAAATGAAAATGTTAACCAGTCTCATGAATACTCCTCCTGTAAGCAGCAGAACTAGTTTATTGTTCTTCCCAGTTCCCGTTATATCTATATTTATCACATTTCTTTCATTCAAGATTGATGCCACATTGTGCCTACTTACCTGCCTTTTATTGCACTGTTGCACTGTTACATTTCTAAAAATGTTTCACCTATTTGCACTGCTCAATAATCCTGACGTCTCTTTCCACCGTTTCATACCTTCTAACACATTTTTTTTAAATCTGCTCCCGCCGTTTATATCTAACTTTACTGGCCAATATCCGGCAAATATCAGTAGTTTCAGGAGTTTCAGCATATCATATCTCTCGAATTATTTGGCAAACATTGGAATGACGGTCATAAAGAACTATACATACATTAGTTAGTATTCATTTAAATTTCAAAATATGAAACAAACTTGACATAATGGTAAGGGGCTAAAATTTGCATTAATATAATACACTTTCTCGCTAAAATTTGATGTATTTATTTATTCATTTTTTGGATTCCAATGACTCAAGCTTCGATACTAAAGTTATTCGCAGTAGAATTATTAAACAGAATGCATTGCGAGGCAACTTCTCTTCTTAAATGATGATGAGATGAGTTCCTTCAGTGAACATCACCGTCAGCTCTAAACATTGGAAATTTGATTGCTTCTTGCATATTGCATCCTTATGTTTTGCCTGCGTGCAGAATTATCTCCCACAAATTCCTTTACAACTCTATCACCTGTGCAGTGCAAGTCCTTCATTTCTCTCGATTTCGAATTTATTGCATCAGTGAAATGGAGAGAGTTGAATTTCCTGACGGGATAGAATAACTGAAATATTATGTATAAATTTTAATTCATAGTAAATTGCATGCAGGAATGACTGATCTTGCAAGACTGAATGTTTAGTTGAATGTGACTCATATGCGATTTGCATGAAAGAACAGTACGAAATATAAGGCCATCGCTACATAGGGACAGCCTGCTTGGTAGTTTTGCGAATTTTACATGATTCATTTTTGTTTTAGTGATGACTGCAAATAGTGTCAAGCTGTGATAATCTCATGCAAACAGTTTGCATCATCTAAAAATGGAGCAGAACGTTGATATGATCAATGACAGAAATACTAGTGATGGTAATCGACAAGCGATGGTATCTTAGTAATTATGAATTAATAATAAATTTCCGTTTTGCAGTTTTCAAATCTATTTGAATCGAACCTCTGAACTTCGAACTTTTGAAGGAGACAGCTATTTATACTGCCATTGTTCACAAGAAAAAGCATGCATACCTGAACAAATGACAAAGCAACCTTTCAGAATGAGTGTGACGAGAAAACGCTTAGTAGTGCCAACATCTGGAAGCTGCCTATGTCAGAAGTTGCCAAAAATACCCTAAATCCAATTCGACAGATTTGTGATTCTTCATTCGTGACATCTAATACGGAAAAGCCATTACTTAAATTAAACCTTGGAGATCCGACTGTTTCTGGCGCACTACCTGAATGTCCAGCTGCGATCCAGGCTATCAGTGAAGCATTGACCAGTCGTAAATACGAAGGTTATGGACCTGCCATTGGTAAGTTACTATTATCAATCATAATCAATTACTTGAATCACCCTTAATTTTAATTACCCCCAATTTTACGCTTTTAAGTTGATGCATAAATTAAAATGCTTAAATAACCTTTGAAATTTCACAAATAATATCTGACTAATTTTTGAAAATTGTTCATCAAACAGCGGAAATTGATGCCTCCTATTGAGAGCTTATTCAAATCGAATTACAACACTTCGTAAAATTCAACTTAGGCAGAGGTCTTTTTTTCATTTTAGGGATTCTAGAAGCTCGGGAAGCAATAGCCCGACACTTCACACATCCTGAAGCACCAGTTACCGCGGATTCTGTTCTGTTAACCAGCGGTTGCTCGCATGCCATTGAAATGGCTATCGAAGTGTTAGCAAATCCAGGCGATAATATACTTGTACCAGCGCCTGGCTTTTCCCTATATTCAACTCTCCTTAAATCTGCAAACGTTGAAGTGTGTTTGTTTGGAAGTTTCAAGATCAGGAGGTGACACAATTACAAAATTAATTGACGAGAAAATTTTTATTAAAGTCCTTTGAAAGTGATAAGAGAAATAAAAGAATGGATTATCATTTGATTAAAGGTGTTCACATTTTAGAGTCGTTATTACTATTTCGATATATTAAATGGCCCTCAATTGGATCTGGCTCAGTTGAAATCTTTGATTGACAACAGAACTCGTGCCATAATCATCAACAACCCTCCAAATCCAATCGGCATAGTTATCAACAAAAATCAACTGGAATCAATATTACAAATAGCCTGTGAAAAAACAAATTCCTATAATTGCTGATGAAGTTTACGGTACAATGACTTATAATGGAGCTGAATTTTACCCGATAGCAACCCTAAAACCGAAAGTACCAATACTCACTTGTGATGGTATTGCCAAACGGTATCTTTTACCAGGATGGCGACTTGGTTGGATCATTGTTCACGATCGATATGCAGCACTACAATCTGTTCGAGATGGTTTGATAGCATTAGCTCAGAAAATTGTTGGTCCTTGCGTATTGATCCAAGGTGCACTGCCACGTATCTTGCAATCAACTAATGCTAATTTTTTTCAACAGGTGAACAGTATTATTCACCGTAATGCAAGCATTGTATGCAAAAGTCTGAGCGAAGTACCAGGCTTGCAACCTCTCAGGCCTAATGGGACGATGTACATGATGGTAGGTATCGACGAGCAGATGTATGGAAGTGATCGAGCTTTCGTTCGTGATTTATTCGTAGAAGAAAATGTCATCTGTCTTCCAGGCTACGTCTTCCATTGTGCTGGTTGGTTTCGTCTGGTACTCACCTGTAGCGAGCACGACACTCATGAAGCTTGCACTCGCATTGTGCAATTTTGTTTAAGGCGATGTTCACATAGCTTGAATCATGAAACCAGTATTTGATATTTCCACTTATCACCTACTTCATTTATGATCTCCATCCTCGAATCTTATCTGCCTATCTTGTAACGCAATAATTTTAAAGTTGGACTTTTCCTAATTTTACATTACACAAGAATTAGTGTATTTGTATAGAATTATACAGAAATTCAACAATATTTGTAGGCCGATGAGGGATCATGTTGCATTTATTTGCTCACATTAAACTTTTATGTTAATCTTTCTCACTCATCTAAATCTGCTATCCATTTTTCATTCAATATATCAGCAGTGCTGGATAAATTCCAGTACTGATTACACATAATGTTTCCTGTATTGTGATAAATTATCATACTACAAACACGATCTTTGATCCCATTTGATTAGTTGGCTTTTTAATGATTACTTTACTAAGAAAGAATAGTAAATACAATCTAGATAATGGGGTTTGGCAGTTGTCATCTTTTCGCTTGCTGTTCCCCTCATTTGTGGTCTCTTTTATTTTTCTCCTTCAAATAATATGAATTGATGACGGATTGTTGTTTTATTCATAAGAAGATAGTTTTTATTTATAGGGTTGACACCTGGAATGTTTGAGGTGCATGGATTTTACTTTTCCCATAGTTTAACACTTTCATTTCATTTACAGTACAATGCGTTAGTCTTTGATGAAGTGAATATGTAAGATAGCTGAAACAATCATTTGGGGGAAAGATTTTAAATGATGACAAAATTGTTTTGCTTAAAGCAGTAAATGCCAAAAATTGATCAAATAAACAGTCCAAAACATTTCGAACTACCAATAAAGTTTTTTTCTTTTTTTCACATAGGATAAGTAATTAACTTTTTGGGCACTGAATACTAAATATCTTGAAAATGTCTTCAGACAACCTTACTCTACCTGAAATTTTAAAAAATTTTCTCATCATCAAGTCAGTTCGACTTCAAAATAATTTATTTTGGAGCAATATTGCAATAGCCAGCATCAATAAAAGTTTTTCTCTGAAATTTGTTTCCAAAAATACATTATTTAAAAATAAAAAATATGATAACAAAGAATGAGTTTTCAGTTGCCTTGCAGTAATGTTATTTAATTATTTCCCTCCTTCCGATATTTTAGCAGTTCCGGAATAAGTTTATGTTGCAAGTCGTAAAAAAAAATTTCTTTCAATTCAGATGATTCATATCAATACAAGTTTTTTTTAAAATCTTCCTGAAGTTTCTAAAGATGTACCTGTCAAATATTACCTCCAACTAATGCCATGATTTCAGCTATTCATGTCAAATTTCGCAATCATTTGCGTTTTGCAAATGTTCTAAATAGTTATTCCACATCATTTAATAGAGGAAATTCATATCGAAAAGAAAAGAAACTTAGTGATGTTTTTCATTCTCAAATGGGTAAATCGTTGAATATGAAGGAAAATTTTTATTTGCTTCTCTCAAATTCTTCACCTTTCTTTTTTTTTTCTTTTGAAAAATATAACCAGTTAATGGACAGTTATCAATAATTGATAAATTTTTGCTTCTTGCATCTTTTTCTCTCTCTCCTTCTTCCTACCTTTCTCTTCCCCCGCCTATTATCAACGATGTTTTAATTTTCAGTCTTTGGTTACAAGTGGCATTTTTAAAATAAATGTTATTTTGCAAAAACTACTTTTTAAGATAATCATTTGTCCAAAGAAGATTTGTTCCAAATGTAAAGAAGTTTGCATTTCCACTAGTGAGCGACATTATGAATTGCTTTTACAAGAATTACTCCTTGGAAATGGAAATCATTCTCGAGTACATTGTATCCAACATTCCCTCCTGTTGTTGCTCTTCTAATTAATAATATTTATAGAAGCATTCTGCTAAAACTCTTTTGTATCAAGATTTTTGGCATTTACCCAATTTGATTGTCGGAAATTTTTTTGGGAATAAAATTTGTAAATACATGAAATCGATAAATGGCACGATATCATCAGATCACCAACATTTCATTTAAATCATTCTTGATGTTACATTTGCTGTATTCCCTAAAATTTTCCTAATTCTTGCAATGAAATTAACTTTCAACATGCGCATCCTTCCATTAATTCCTAATGTTGCTGAACCAGAGTGTGGATAGAAGAAGCTAAGGAAGAAGGGAGCAACGCTGTAGGAATTTTGGAATTACTTGAATTAATCAATACCGCATTATTTTGAATCGAAATTAATAGTTCTTAGTAAAGTAGTAACATAATTCTTGAGATGACAAAGTTGAGTTGAAGTCATTTGGATAGTTTGAAAATGCACTGACCAATCAATCTACACTGATCAAAAATCAAGTCAGTGAATTGTGGGGATCATTTCAGATATATGTGTCTGCAAAGGTAAAATGAAACTACTACTTTTTTTTTCTCCTTCCTTTTGTTCCATCAACATAGCCTTGATGATCTGATGATAGGGAACAACGGTAAGTAGAGATACTTTTTAGTTTGAAGCAATTCAGAAAAGTGTTCAAATGGAAAATGGAATGGTTGGATTCTTTGGATATGAGAAGTATGTAAGATACCGTATGAAAGCAAGTCACACTGGTTATGTGTGAAAGCCTGGAAAGCGGTATTGATCCTTGATTAGATTGGAATATACAATGATTTTTTGTTAGAGTTGAGTATACAAATTTGCAATTAATTTATATTTCAAATGAGATCAAACTCACAGATGAAGCCAAGAGGGAGGATAAAATGATGTATCCATTCCCAGAGCCAAAAAAAGAGTGGTGGAATAAAATGCACTTTGTTGTGTAGCCGAATATAGCGAAAATTCATAACATCGGGATGAAGGAGAAAAAAATAGTCAATACCTTAAGTTCGACAATAAGCTAGAGGGGTAAGTCATAGTTCGTTGTTTTAAAAATGAATTTCAAAGGTAGAGGCATAAGATATGAAGCAGAGTAGCAAAATGAGGCGAACTTTAAAGTTAGAAGTCTGAAAAGTGATTTCTGTATCATCGGTCGACTGAAAGTGTTTAGTGGCAAAGGAGCATCATGGATGGAAAGTATGAGGCGGTGAAAGAATATGAAATAGAAAACATGTTACTCGGCAGTAAGTGTGAACTATGCTGTGCATCACACAAGAAATATTACATCTCATATCCATGCAATCAGAAGATCCAGGAAGAAGAGGGAGAAAGGGTAATGATAAATAATGTAGTTCGATAACGATCAAACGAAAATGTTTGTAAGGAATAAGCTGAACAACGAACTACAAGTATGAACTAGCCGTGTTTGTTTTGCAACTTCTCTTTTATTTTGAATACCATTATCGGAATTAGCACTGTCGCGAGGAAATGACATGTTGATAGGAAAAGGGATGAGTTGTGGTGGAACATTAGAACGGGGGATGATTCGACCGAGAATTTGAGTGAAAGTCAAATAAAAGCGGATATAACAGCAGCGTCAATTTATTTGAGAAAAAAGTTTATCACGTGATCACGTTTGAACAACCTATTTCATAATTACAATCATCTGATCCAGCTAGTCATGTTTGATGTGATTCAGATGTGCTTCAAAGTGGCGAAGATCCGCTCATGGTTGAAGAAAAGAAAACGGTGAACTCATACAGATATCGGAAGAGACATTGTTATATAATAATCATTTCGTAATTTTGGATGTGATATTTTGATTACATTTAAAAATATCAGAGAAGCATTTGGCATAGAAAAGCGCTTTTTACCGCCACTTGTTTTTTTTTTTTTTTTGATCCAAGAACTAATGTTTCACTTTTGTTATTCGTTTGAACTTATAAAGTATAACGGCCTTGAAGATGGTTTATCAATGTCCATTGATTGTCAATGTTCTTTGCATTTCTCGACGAACTACTACAGAATTACCATGCAATTTATCAACTTCCCCTTTGATCATTGTTTTCTCTTTCTCTCGTATATCCAGAGTTGATTACCGATATTTGATTTAACGAAGAAAATCAATAAATTTCATCTCCAATTTGGTGCTACTTTAGCCCTGTAATGATAAATTCAGTACTGTTATAATTTGTTATTGGAAGTTTGTCGTCGTAACGTCAATATCATTCAGAAAAAAAGGAAAAAAAAGTTATAGATGGTCATTCTATCGTATTTAAAGATTGTTGTAACATTATTTAGTTTAATTTGATGTTCTTTTTCAGGAAGTTTTGTTTGTGCGAATAATTTCTTGATGATGAAAGCAACAAGATATTATCAAATGCAAAAATTAGTATGTATCATTGAGCGAGTTAGTTATGTGTAAGGAGTAATCTCTTCTATAAATCTTATCTGTAAAAAATGAGGAAGGGAATAACGACCTATGGAAAAATGACCGCTTCTATCATCACTTATTGCATGTCATAGCATATGTGAAATGCTAATATCGTTGATTGCTAATTTGCTGATCATTTTAGTGCTTCCAATAGAAACGTGTGGTGATAGGAAAAGGATTTCCGTGTAGAATATAGATATTCGGTACGGAAAAAGATGAAGCAAAAAAATGGGTATTGTTTTATTCTAGGGTTATATACTTCCTGTAAGCTTTATTTTATAAGTGAAAGTAAGGTGATTTAAAAGGTCTGATGGCATTATTTAGAATAATTCAAAGTATTAAATGAGAGTACGCATGTTAGTGAAATTCGCCTGCTATCTTCAGATTTATAATTAGTCACAGTTTTAGGACGTTCTATAAAAAATATACGACGTAATACGTTGAATTAGTCAAGTGGAGGGAACACATTTCACAAAGATTGAACTTTTCGTGATTTTGGACCAAAAGACATCTCCTCGTTCCGTTGAAGCTGAAATGTTGTCCAGCTCACAAAATACCCGGACTTCATTACCAGGTTACTGCAAAGGATTTGTCGTAAAAATGTGTGAATTGCCTCATCTTCAAATGTCGGCCTGTGGTGCTAATGAGGATGGTCGTTCGTTATTTCAGTTCGACTTTCATCCTTTCAGATTAATTTTTGCTGGTTCGATCTTTATCAGCAAAATTGGTTTACTTGCTTTAGTTCATCAGAAAATGTAGCATAAATTTAAACTAAATCCATCTTTAATTCTGGCCAAGTAAATTATTAAGATGGCATATCAAAATTTATTTTTGTGAAATTCAATCCCTCACATTATAATAGTTTGTCATTTTCATTCGTAATATTTTTGTGAGAATCACTGGAATTGAACAATTTGAATGTGTTTTCATGTGAGAAAATCTGGGAGTACAATTTCGTTCCAAAATTTTACTTTGTATTCACCAGAGTTTGGTACTCGCGCTCGTCTGCATCTGCTCATATTAAATGCAATCAATTTATTGTATGAGACAGTCTATTCATACTGGTATCTTATAAAATCCATAAGTCAAAATATTCATCAAAATATCATCCTCTCCTGGATTATTTTTGATTCCACATACTTATCTTATCGTTTGGATCAATTTCGCTTTTTAAATGACTATTTTCTAATATTTTGCATTTTCAAAATATTTTCATTCCATGAACTCGAGTGAGTTGCTTTTACGTTTAATATGTTTCGAAGTTGTTGGATTGACATTTTTTTTGCATTTCAAAATTCCGGGTTTTTTTTTTTTTTTTTTTTTTGGAGGGGGAGGAAAAATGAAATTCATGCTCGAAGTTATCGAGTAATTGTTATAATTGACTAGCAAAAAATGTACGTTTTATGGACAGATGGCTTCTGATGATTAAGGGAATTTATAAATCACGTAACAACATTTAGGATATGAACGGCTCAAACGTAACGTATGCTTTTTGCAGCAGGAAAAATTGTTGGAAAACTAACAAATTTTGAAGTTACCGATAGTCTTCAAGACGCACTTAGTTTTAAGAGATCCAAAATGGTTTTCTGTCCCTCTTAACAGGAATTGTTTCATCATTTTGAATTAATTACCCTACTACATCTAACTGTTCATTAACGTTCATCAGAAAATGGGAAATTATGATAATCGCTGGTATGGAATAATGAAATGAACATGATAAATATCATAGGGATACTTTAATAAATGTAATTATACGTTAGGTGATATACACATTACGGTATTACTCATTCTCAAACCAATTGTTGTTCATTAAAAATGTTTGTTTATGTTTGTTTTGTTTATGTTTTGTTTTTGAAAATGTTTGTTTGCCATTTTTGTTTCAAAATGATCGGTTGGAAAAGTTTTTCCCACGCAAGGATGTTTTCTTCTTTCGCTATAACATAATATCCTAATAAAGATTTTGGAATTTGTGGAGAAAGGCTTCAGCATTAATCAAAATATATTCAAGCATTATTAATGTTTACAGGAATATGTAAAATAAAATGAAATGTACTTCTGTTGCTGTTTTTTTTTCTTTCATTTCCTCACTATCCGCTTAGATAAGAGCCTATTCAAGTTCGTTTTAACAAGTTATTTCAAACTTAATTTAGTTTCCATCTGTTTGATAACACTCAAAGCAATTCTTAGCTATGACATTTTAAAAATCTCATTGTCGAGTATTCGAAAACAAAACTGTTTTCTGACTAATCTTTCTTTCCCACTTTCTCTTCCTGAAATTTTTTTCATTGGGAAGGAGCCAGATTCGTTCTGGTCGTTTTCTCTAAAGCTTTGGCCATAAACTTCTCCACATTATTTTTTTCACTTTTTTTTTCCATTTTTAAAACATTTTTAGAGTTTATCCCTGCATTTCTTCTGCAACGAATATAAAAGATTGATACTGTGGGATGAATTATTGCAAATTCTTTTACCTGGAAAATGATGATTGACATTGGTAATTGTCAGTTGATTTGATTGACTACTTAGTTATTGGCATCTCCGTTAGCAACAGTTTACATTTAAAATAATTATATTATTACTACCGAAACATTGTGTTTCGAGAAAGACTGAAATAACACAAGTACCATTCCGTAACAGTTTCCAAGTCTGTTGATGTGGTCAATTTACAGAATAGTACTTGTGCTTTTTGTATTTAATATATGTTCGGTTTTTTTTTTTTTTTTTTGTGCTTTTGTTGCCAACGCTACTTTAGACTAAATGTTGGTGCTGCCAGGAACGACAATTCTTCAACTTGATAGCCGATTTTTGGAATAACAACTGCAGTCAGAACCAGTGTATTGGAATGTCAAATGACAAATTATCTTTAAAATTGTCCGTTGTATTATGTACTGTGACATCACACAGATCGAATCGAGATATTGACTGAAGCGAAAGAATGGGATGACATTGGCCTACGTGGCTTGAAGATGGAATATAGGTCGGTTGATGAATTGTAAGAACATCTTAGTTAGAAAGCACTTCTGTACATAAAAAAAAAAAAAAAACACATTTTCTTGGCTTGAATTGGAGAAGGCTTTAGGAAATGTTGCTTGGATTTTTTCCTGCATCTCTTTTGGATTTTTCTCCCGTTTTGAAATTTTGAAATTATTCTTTAGAGACATAGTTCCAGTACAATATTGTTTTCCGAAGTAAAGCTCAGAAGACTCATCTAATGTTGGGCTACATTGTCGTAATTGAAATAAAATCTTAATGAGCAGTCATCTCGATTGTATTTTGACGGTGATCATCGTTTCGAATGCGGCATATGGTTGCATATCTAAGATGAAATGGCTTCAGATTCTAAGCTTATTCATTAGTTGTGGTTTAGGCATGAACTAGAATATGTCTATCTCTGATAGTTTGAAATTAGCCTAGCTTTCCTGGGCACAACCGCTTACTTTCTGTTCTTGGATTATGGTGCTTGTTTCCGTCATAAAGAGCTTGTTTTTTCGCCTATCAGTAGTTATTTTTAACTATTTATTGAATTTTTAACTGTGTATATGCATGCATGTACCATATATATATATATATATATATATATCCTACTGAAGAATTACACACGGAATCACCATCGATAGATCGAAAGTTGTCATGATGTACTTTTGTTGACCTTCAGATCATGCTCAAATCAGTGAGTTACCTCGATGAAGATAATAAGAGAATTATTGATGGGGGTGAATTTCAAACGGGAAAGATTGCTTCGTATTGACGATGTTTGCATACTACAGTAAACAATGTATTTTACTCCTTTGTCTTCTTCTGTAACTTCCTTGCATGTCTTTCGTCCTTTGTTACCTTCATGACCCTTCAGTTTGTCTTTTCTATTGTCTAATTTTGCTGAATGGACTCTTAGGCTTTGCGTAGAACATTATGTAACTTAAGTAAAAACATCAGACCATTGACTGCTGACAACAGAGATCATTTTTTACAAACGCAAAAGTAGGAAAACTCTTGAGTTTTATTCGAAATATCCGATAGCCATTGAAGCCAAGTTCGAGATGATAGGGGTATTGAGACTTTTTCTCGTCTTACTGTCACAAGCTCAGACTGAGTATCACCCGGAAATTTGGTTATTAATAACATTTGTATGTTTTGCTTCGGGTGCAAATGCTTCAAGACTCACTTGAAAGTACTCGCAGTGAATGTCGTTGAACGTTTTGATGAGCAACAAAGGAACTTAAAAGAATTGAAGAGGCATAGATTGATGATACAGAGCTATGAGTGATAAATAAATGTGCCGATGACGAATTCGATTTATGATCGCTTCGAGTTCCACTTTGTTGTCTCACGTGAGAGGCATTATATTATCGGCGGTAGAATTGACCTTTTTCTGTTGTTTGCTCCTTGCAATTCTTGCCTTCATTTTTCATCCGTCATTTAAATGCATTCCTGTATTACCGGATGAAGTGCGCCATCACATCATTCACCAAAATCAATTCAAAATTACGAACAACAAATGTACTCGAAAATCGAACTACAAATTACGTTTAAATTTTTTGTAAATACCATCGATTTGCGATACTATTGGATCATTGTTAATTGAGTAATTTCTTTATGTACTATTTATAGAATTATTTGGTCCAAATGAATTTTCGGAATGTGAGTAACAAACATAAACGATCCTGAGGTCGAATTCTGCAAAATACAGTTAATAATTTGTTGCTGAAAACAAAATAACTCATCGAAAGCATTATAAAGCAAAGATTGGTTGGGATTATTTGTTGGCCGAAGTGTTAATTTCAGGTTGAATCTATAAGATAGTTTAAAAGTAATACATTAATTAGGCGCTTACCTACCGATCCCAATCGAGAAGCTTACTTATCCAGTGTGTTATTCATTCTCCGTATTCTTATCCTGCTCTGCTTCCTCTCCTTCTAGTGCAAACAAAATATGCATTATTTCTCTTCCCGATTGTTTCAGTTATTCGTGATCTAAAATGATAACAGTGAATGTTTAATCTGTCCATTGTTATTAGTTCATAATCTGTTTTTATATATCCCATGTAACTGCATGTCGATCGTTTAATTAATCAAGAGTTAAACTTGCCGTATTCGGTCATCATCATTGCCATCAGACTGGTCTAGTTTATCAGTAGCTTTTTATGCTAACGAATGGGACTGGAGCAGTTGTTTTAAAGTGAGAGAAATATGCTGTGTACAATATGCTATTCGGCATTTTGGCAATAGGTGATACATTCGCAAAGTGCAAATGTCACGAATATACAGAGTAAAGTGAATGAAGAAGGAGTATTGCGCAAGTTGTACCAATTAATTAATCAAAGCAGCTTGATATAATTTGAACTTCCGTTTCATTTCTCGGGACAATTTTCTAAAGACACACAAACGGATGCCTCTATGTATGGTACTACCAGACAGACTTAAACATTTTCGTAGGCATCGTAAATTCTTTGCAACATCTTCTTCTACGCAAACAACCGATAGGGATGAACAGTAGTATATCTCCATAATACACAGTTAACAATAACTAGACCATTATCATATACTTCTTGTATTTTACTGTCAGACTGTACGATATTTCTCGAGAATCACAATGCAGTAAGTTTTTCGGAAAGTATCAATGTGCTTCTTTAACCACAATGAAAGATTTCGGTGAATGATAATAGTAGTAATGCCACTTTATCAGGTTAGCATAATGCTCGTCACCTCTCAAAACATTAGAAAGTATAGGTAAATTAGGATATTTGAATCTTTTAGAAATGAAACAACTGCTGATTGCTCTTTCCATTGTGAAACATGAACAGGTTGCAAAAACTTTTTATCAAAAAGTTAAAAAAGTTCAAGTTATTGAATCTGTCATCAGTTAACAAGTGACATATTTGCGATATAAGTGCAGTTGATATTGAGGTGATACGCCATAGCACATTATCTCAGTGCAGTTTCCAATATCGATATGGTGATGATAGGACAATCATTTTCAAGGTCACTGCGGTTTTAAATGGTAAGCAACAATAGGTGACGTCATTTCTGTCAGAATTCATGAAATTAACCCTTTCTCTAACCTGCTGGAAGAACAGAGGTAATTATGAGCGGTCGCAATAATCTACCTGATCTTTTGACTCCTTTACCTACATCTACTTACTTATCTACTTAACCCTTTACCATAAATTTGACCCTCCAATAAAACTAATAAACCTCTGAATGCTTCCACCACTCCCTCGCCTTCCCGTCCCATACTATTCTTTTGCCCTTTGATATTGCGCTCTTTCCTTTGGTTAATGGATGTGTTTCTCAGATGCCCCTCAAATATCGAGAAAGGAAAAGAAGTAAAATACAATGTAATAAAAATTAACCTTTTTTGAGAGTTCTTGTTGGAATAAACTAAAAAGATAGCAGAAGGAACAGCTAAGAATTCTTGTGAAATTAATGAGCATATCAGTTAGTTAGTCAATCGATCAATCAATCGGTCAGCCAGTTAATGATCCATACAACAGGTTAGTGTTGTAATTAGTTAGCTAATCATAAGAAATTAGTTAGTGGAGGAGAAAAAAAAAACATAGCAGAAGGGAAAAAAATCAAAACATGATAGGAGAAAGAAAAAAGAGACGAAAAATTTGGCTTGCTAAAAAAATGAAGAAATAATTGATATTGGCTAACATGAATGCATTTCATGTGCATCTCTGAAACCCGTTTAACTGCATTCCATCTCAATCTCATCGTTCTCTTCCAATAATAACATATATGCACATTCAACGTATACACCACAACTAATAATGACAGAATAATCATATTGCACAAACATAACCTACTCATTGTTCTTACTTATTATATAAGGTTATTAGTATTTTTATGGCAAGATATTAGTTAATAATCACTTTATGTTATTACAAAAGGCATTGGTTTGGTTGGGTCAGGTAATTAACAAGTGATCATCGACTATATATTAGTTAGAAATTGAAAATTTTTGAACATTTTATTTAGGAATTCTCAATATCTATTTTTAAATGTAAAAAGTGATTGCTCCTTCTGTAAAACTGTTCGGTCACAATTTAAGAAGTTTTGGCAATTTAATGGCTTCAGGTGAGTGATTTTGCCTTGTAATAGTAAATTTATTTCACGATTATCCAGACCAGTTTTGGGGAAATTCCTTTTTTTCTCTGTTTTTTCATAGTTAATGTCTTCTTCTAAGGTCTGATAGCATGGATATTAGGAATGGGAATGTTACGTCTAATGTCATTCACTTGTCAAAGGGATATCCAAAAGGCATGTATGTATCTTTGAATTAAAGAAGTTGGACGGTTTCCGCTCACTTCTCAATTTCTTTCATCGTCATCATAGTGGTGAGAAGAGTTGGTTGAAAATAGCAGAGATTATGAGAGAGGAAAAGGATGTTGGATACTTATATCGATGATGTTCTTATGATTTGAAGCAGCTTGTGATTTCCTAATCAAAAAAAGGGAAAAAACTGGCTCACCAATGGCACAAATTCGGGCAGTGGCCAAGTTGGACAGATAGCCTAGAATGATGTGCTGTGCTGTGCTGTGCAAAGTCTATGTAAAAGGTGCAAGTAAGATATGTATGTCAAGGAGAAGCTCTTCATTGTAAACTGGTTACCAAATCATTTCTGCTTGCTCTTGTTTAAATTCCATCGAACTGTGTACTACATGTATACATATATATATATTTATATTTATATACGTGTGTGTATATATGTGTATGTATGTATGTATATAGATTTGTGTATGTTTTTTCGGGCACAACATTTCTAGATATTGTCACTAAGTAGAGACACAAGACAAGGCATTCATCGACATTGTCACTATCCGAAGTCATCGATGATCGTGGTCGTTCGTAATTTTTTTGTGAGTGAATGAGCGCAATCTTTGATGCCTTATTTCGGAGCCAGCATTATATCACATTTTTGCTGTTCTCTTGTTTTGCAATGTTCATTGGTTTCATTTTTCATATCTGAAAACTTTCTAATATGTAAAGAGGTCCTTTTTAAATAATAATTTAATATGTCCTTGCATTTTCCAATTTGGCTTTTAAAACGGGTCGAGTTGGTTTTGATCTCCAAATGCCAATTGGTTGACCGCAATTTTATAGAATTTCTGAAATACTGATTATACGTTGTTGTCCATGTTACCTCTTGATAAATAACATCTTTGGTGCAGCAGCATGCCAAATATAGGTGTGTGTGTGTGTGTGTGTCTATGGGTGTTGTGTGTGTGTGACATTGTATATTTGTGCTTTATGCATTTCTCTTAAAAAATAAAAATAAATAAAAATGGCAACGTCGGATAGAAGATGAGCACGTGACTCAATCAACTGTTATGCCATACCTGTAAGGTGTGAGGTATATAGAGAGGAAGAAAATTGGCTGCACATATAAAAAGCGCATAAGTAACTTTTCCATAAGACCGATAATCATCAATTCATCACTATCTTAAAGAGGCCTAGAGCAAGTTATCAGCTTTTGAAAAGTTAAAGCTAAGGTTCCAAAGCTTTCTTAAATTACAAACATGCACATGAAAACAGCGATTGCATATGCACTGCAAAATGACAGCTAGAGAAACCGAGGGAATTATGCAGAACTTCTTCATAACATTTCAGAAGCTAACACGAATGCTTCCAAAATTCATGAAGTGTTAGATCCCTATCTTTCCAGATAAACTGAAGAAAATATATGGGTCGATTGTTTGATATACTTGTGTCCTACATAAGTATGTATGTGAAGTTGACGAATGCAGACATACGATAATCTGTTACAGTGTCCTCATTATGCAAGTTGTCATTTTTATCTTATTAAAGTCTCGTTCTCTTAGGGTGTAACAACACTGTCAGGTTAACGTTACAACTGATAGGAATGAAGGAAGCAACATTTTTGCTGTAATTGTTATCGCTGGAAATAGCAAGTTTGAGCCCACGTTGCGCTTCGAAGCTTTCCCTCCCGCCCACTTTCCTTTACTCTCTTCAGTTCACTGATGACTTCCATCCTTTTAAAACCCCAACTTTTCTCTCTTTCACTCGTTGCAAGTTTCATTTGCAAAACTTTAATTGATTAAGTAGTTCCTGCACTCACGAAAAATGTGCATATTTTGCTATGTTCTTCGCAGTCAACAACCCATTCCAATTTCATTTGTTAAAGTGTGTAAGTAACAAAATCGTAATAAATGACAATGATTTATATCAGTGGATTACCTGTTGTTTGCAGTGAAAATTGAACTACCTTCAATTTGGAGATACCTTCAAAGTACATATTAAGAAGCATCACAACAGGTGATCTTCGAATTTATGGTCTTAGAAGATACAATTAGTCGTTGCACGTGACTTCAATAATGAAGAAATAGTGACATGTGCACTGAAGGTGAACTGAGTCAAACATTCACTCCATTTGACATACGTCATTCAGTCCCTTCATTAGTTTAAATCAATTCAAACCATCCTTTCAACTTTCCTTCAGCTTAAATCCTCAGAAACCTGAACGGCTGTGATAGAAATGACAACACACACACACACACACACACACACACACACACATACACACATACACATACACACACACATGCAAACACACAGACACACACACACACGCACACACACACACATGCACGCACACTTTCGCATTTAAAAACAGATCCGAGAAGGTTTGAGAAACGAACAGCATGGCTGTTGGATGAGGTACTTCCCACTCCCTCTCATCTACTTATAGCCCAGATCAGCTCCACTCAACGCATATCTTCTTATTTTCCTCTTTTTTTTCGAAATTTCCAATTAATTTCATATATTTCTTGGAAATTCATGGTCTTTCAGTGTCATAACATATGTGACTGTTTCACCTGGATGGTGTCAGTGTCTGTGTCTTATTTGAGCAGCCTATCTTGAAAGGATGGGCACTGATTTCCATTAATCAGAAAACTAAAAAGCCTTACATGTACACTTCTCCTCTCTCTGATCAATGTCATTTATCATCCATCCACCCACCTTCCCATTTGAGTAGGTTAATGAGGCTGCTGGTAGCACAAACGGCTTACACCACTTGCCCAATTCCGACGGTGATACTAATCCCTTATCATTTTCCCTCCTTTCTCTTTATCATTACTAAAACTGTCATCATCCCAATAATCATCTCCCCCATCCTCCCCATCCCCTTTTTGCAACCAAGGTAGTTTCACGCTTTCCCTGCAAATAGCAATCATATTAAGGTGATTAGTGGAGGCGGTGACTGGAACCAGCAGTGGTTACCCAACTTGTACCACAACAACACACGTACACACATACACACACGAACACACAGACAGACATCAGACAGATAGACACACACACACACACACACACATAGGGTCATCGTCCGGGTCTACTGAAATGTGAAAAGGCGTGTAAACCTGAGCAGCACTTGCAATGCTCTCCCAGCAGTCAGTCAGTGAGTCAGCCAACCATCGCCACTACCCAAAGCGTCCGGTCATGCCTACATATAAGAACTACCCGCTTTTATACATCCTTCTTCACATAGGTGTGAAAGACTGCGAGCTACGAGCAGTCTGTTAGCAGTGCGCCTGATAGGTATTGCAGTTGCAATTGCAGTTGCAGTTGCGCTAGGAGGCGCAAGAAGCACAACCTACCTCACCATATCCTACCTCACTCCCGTATGTACGTATATATATGTCTGTCTCTCTCTGTCATCTCGCTATCTGCAACCTTAATTGGGCAGTCAGAGGGCATTGAAACCCAGCTGACTGACAGCTTGTAAACACAGTGCTCTTTCCCAGGGATCACAGGGGAGGCGCAATTGGTTGACTGTGTCAAGTTGTTCGGTATGGCGAGGCTGGTGAGCACAGCTGCTTGTCCATCCGTTCTCCGATTCCCGAGTGACGTCCCTCGTATTATAGATTGCTGGTTCGATATTGATATTGTGATTCATGAATGGATAGATAATAAATCATCCTTCTCATTAATGGATGATACTTTGTTATAGCATCGGGTAGTTTGTTTTTATGGATCGAAGACATTCGCCTTTCTGTTTCTCACAGCTTATATCCGCCGCGCAGTATATCGAAAAAGCACGGAATGTTCCGGATACTTGCCTCAGTATGTCTTACCCTTGTTTGCCATTATTTTCTGAATTAAGGAGATAAGCTTGTAAAAGTCATGCAGAAGCATGAGAGACGGTTATGATCCCACCGGATCAAGTTAGAATGAGTACCTTAATGGAGAGTACCTTAACCAGAGAGTACCTAGCAATCAGCACTTCCATCTGCATGCGAAATATGTCACACTATGTTTCTGAAATGATTAGTCACGGAATGAGCGGGAAGAACTTATGGAAGGAATCTGTAATATAGTTTCAAATTCAGATTTTTTTTTTCAGTTAGTGATGAAAGTAGTGGCGATTCATTTGTGACTAAAGGAGTATTAGGACAAAGTACGACATGTTCCATCGCGTCAACGTCATCGTTGGGATGTTTGTCAGATCGAAGTTCATCAATCCCATCGCCACGACATTTTCAGACACCTCCGCCAGATAGCAGGCGACATCGGCCATATCCTTCCGTAAGCAGCGCACGTCATAGCAGGTTAGTTTTGCCATATTGAAAAGAAAGTGCAGCACTCGAACGCACAACATGTACATTTGCTGCACATCATGACTTGCACATGCAACACTTCTTTTGGCATTATCACATTGCAAAATTGTATGCTTAGGAAGATGACGGTGGATCTACTGCATATTTATCCAGCAAGAATGTGTAATTTGGTAACTTGAAATGCCTGCACACATTCAACATCCCACTTCTTCCTCATTTCTCGAAGTGACCCGACATCACATCATCACGATAAACTGGGGTGAAATGTGTTTTCCTTCCCAGCTCACTGCAAAATTACAACCTTCATTTATTGTCGTCTGAAATGTACAAAACAAAGCAAACATGCAGTCGACTGCACACTACGCAACTGTTTTTGGTCCGCCTTCTTGTCCAATCGGTCCTTTCAGCTGCATTGCACGTGTTCTACTGCACGCATATTGCTACTGATAGCACGTGTACAAACCGGTTATCCTTTCCCTGCAAAACATTACACATTATATACACACAGATATCACATGCATAGCTGTACACACACACACACGCATGCATACACATACACATACATGCACACAAGAACACACACAAACACATGCACACACACACAAATGCACGCACACAGGTACGCACACACACACATACGCACACACACGCACATGCACACACACACACACGCACTCACACCCACACATACACACACACACACACACACACACACACACATACACATACGCATACACATACTCATACATACGTCCGAACACAACACCAATACGTGTGGGAGAGACTTGTGTAAGATGATTAAGCTGATATGAAAATGATTCATTCATTCACCCTAGAAGTTTTACTGGTAGTTAAGTAAAAACCTGAAATTACACTGTCAGTTTGAGATTTCTCCATTCCGGGGAATAATTGGGTAGCTTCTTCCGACTTCTCTTTACTCGTGAAGTTTTCCTTTTTTTTCCGCAATTAAACATTGCTTGTTCGGCAATACTCTTATTTGGATTAATGGCGATCATAGAATGACACGAGAAGGTAAGCGTATTTTCTAGAGGCATTCTGGTAGGAATTCTCAATCCAACAGTTTATTGAAGAGACAAGTAGATTTTCTGTTTACCACCTTACTGTCTTAAAACATCTGTATGCAATGGTTTTTTTTTTCGGATTATTAATCGCGTTCTGATCCAAACAAGTGGGGTATTAGAGTTTGTACATATGTAGTTAATTGAGTAGTTACGTGACAAGGTACTTGCAAAGAAATAAACTCACGATGCAGAAGTTACCAGATGAATTTTACCGCCTATAAGTGAATCTTGCTGGTGAGTTTTTCACAACATTAAACGGAATGGATTTGACGGTTGGCGAACCTCGGATTAGGCTTGTAAATGAACATTGCAACGTAACTTGAAGTACATTTAGCGTATTCTAACCATCAATTCGAAAATATATGTAAGAGATAAATATACGTACGTTGATGGTATGCAAGATAATTGCATTAGGAATTGTATCTCTTTTCTGCTTGCGTACAACTATTAGTTATCCACGACTAGCACTTCCATTCCATACTTATGTATGACACTAATTTCATATTAAAGAAGGCTCTATATTAGATGTTTAGCTTTGTGAGGTACTTTTTTACCGACAAATTTAATAATACATTTGCAAAAAATATTCAGTGTCTCCTTCAATCTAAAGATTGTTTGGTTTTGATATAAAAGGTTGAGATTGTATATATTCAGCACGGTTGATTGCATTTTCCATTGCAGAGCCGCTCACAATGAACTGGAAAAGACACGTCGTGCTAACCTTCGTGGATATTTGGATAACTTGAAGGATATCGTTCCTTCTAGTTCTGACAATGCCCGCAATACAACCCTCTCTTTATTAACTCGTGCTAGAGATTATATTGTGGTCAGTTCTTTGTTATCTTATTATTTTATGATAACAGCTGTGGCAACTTCTGAACAGATGAATTGTCGCTTCAGAGATGTCCTTCCTCGCTCGTCCTCTATTTCGCGCTGGTTGCGCTAGTTTATGGCAACCTCTCCCTCTATCCTCTCTCTTCTCTCCCACTTCTGTAGCCCGAACGGATCGCAAGACAACATGATTTGAGAATGTGGCATTATTATTATTATTATTACTGTTATTAATTAATCTATTATATGATAATAATAATAATAATGATAATAATCAATAATAATAATAATAATAATAATAATAATAATAATAATAATAATAATAATAATAATAATAATAATAATAATAATAATAATAATAATAATAATAATAATAATAATAATAATAATAATAATAATAATAATA